CCCAGGGTTGTCCCTTCCTGCACCCAAAACTGAAGAACAAAGAGCTCTAATTTTAACATTCCACATTGTACCCACGCGGCCAACATTCAGTCATGAGAGTCTGGAGTTTTTGCGGAGATGGCGCGATTCAGCTGCTCTCCAGGGTGGACATCTGCCTGTGTCTAACATGGTCAAATCGGTTTCCGGCCTTGCCATGAAATGACTGCTGATTAGAATAATATGACCGTGTTATTTTTTTAATTGTTATTAGTTTTTTTCCCCCTGGTAATAGAAGTAATATAGGTTCCTTGTAGAGAACCTGAAAACTACAGAAAAGCATAAATGAGTTATAATTAGCAATGTAGAAAGTTTCTTTGAACACTGTAGTAGAAAGAGCGCCCAGAGCCTCGAGATAACCTTTAAGAGTGTGCTATGTGAATGCAAAATGCTATCTATATTAGTGGCATACGGAGGAGAATTTGAACAACAACAACAATAATAGCTGAGTCGGTGTAAAAGGTTGTAAGAAAGTCATTTTACCAAAGCGGTTCTGCTGTTCCCTCCCAGAGCGGACTGGAGCAGCTTGGTCAGGACAGAATCTCGATAGGGAACGTGCAAGACTTTCTTTCCCATGGCTGCATCCGCCAGAGCACTGAAATAAAAATAATAATAATATAGAACAACACATTAAAATTAGAATGTATCAAGAAGAGCTCTTCCTCCCTGGGCGTGAGTCAGAAGCACCCCTCACATCCGCCCTGTGACCCCCTAGATCTGAGATGGGACTCTGAATCATAGGTGATGGTTGAGACACCTTGTGTACAAAGTTAGCTAACCAGCAAGTCCGCTGCCTCCCTCTCCCAGATCAACCTGGAAAAACCGGAGGAAGACTGAATGACAAACAAATGCCTCAGCCCCCAGCCCGCTCTGGGGGGCTACATAGAAGGCAGTGCTGGGATGAGGAGAGTTGGGGAGAGGGGGAGGCAGTCCCACCCGTAAGAAATCCTGATCACAGATTTGGAAGAGAAACCAAACTGGGAGTTTGCCATCAGATGATCACTAAAGGAAATTCTAAAGAACATACTCAACCAGAAGGAAATTGAGCTTAGATAGCAGCTCTGACATTTAATAAGGAGTGAATAGTTTTTTAAAAGTGTGAAGGGGGGATAAATGTGAATGAACACTTTAAAATAATAGTAATGTCTTTTGGGGTTAAAAAAGGATAGA